ACTACAGCCAATTCCTTTTCAGCTTCAGCTGATAATGCTCTTGGACTATTTAAGTCCTTGTCCCCGTTTAGGGTATTGGAAAAATTTACTAGTTCATCTTTAGTTATCCCAATGGTGGGCAGTAAACTGGAAATGTCTCCTAACAATTTTTTAAAGTTACTAAGAGTCTGCAATTGATCTCTCCTGATTTACACCTTTTGGGGTCTAATTTTTTTGTAAACCTATCTTATATCCTAAGTAATTAATACAATCTCCTCTTTGTATTTTTTCCAGGAGCAATTTGTAATCTGCAGCAAGGTAAAATTTTACTTCTTTGAACATGTTTTCTAAAGTACCTAACTTTGAATCACTTAATAAGACATCGTCCATATAATGGAAAATTATAGATTGTGAGAATTGTACACAAATTATTTCCAATTGTTTTTCACAAAATATTGGCACAGGGTGGGGCTATTTAACATTCTCTGTGGTAGTACCCTCCATTGATATCCCTTAACTGGCTGAGCATTATAATAAGTACTGTGAAGGCAAATTTTCCCTATTCTTTTCTTGTAGAGGAATCATGAAGAAACAGCTTTTAAGTCAATAACTACAGTAAGTAACAGAGAGGGCAAGGGCATTCCATTCTGCAGAAAGCCCATATTCTGATTTATTTTATTAATGACTCTCAGCTCTGTTAGCATTCTCCATTTTCCAGATGTCTTTTTAATAACAAACATAGAATTCCAAGGGCTGGTAGATTCTTCAATATGTTGAGCATTTAGTTGCTCCTGAACCAGCTGTTCTAAGGCCTGTATTTTCTCTGATGTCATAGGCCATTGCCTAACCCAGACAGGTTTGTCAATTAGCATTTTGCTGGTCAGGCCATTGGTACTTCTGAGATTTCAACAGCTGTTGTGCCCTATTTTTGTACAGCCTGAATGGTTGGTGACTTTCTTATAGTGTCTTTTAATATTATTCCCAGAAACATGAACTGGTTTATGGTCCACTTCTGAGATCTGGGTATTCCACTGCTGTAGCACATTACAACCCCATAGATTCACTGATACATTAGCCACATATGGCCTCAGCCTTCCTCTCTATCCTTCTGGCCCTATGCATTCAACCCATCTTGTGCTTTGTTTTAGCTGAGTTAGAGTTCCAATCCCTAGGAATTGAACATCTACCTCCTGAAGAGGCCAATTTGGATGCCATGATTCTGGTGTAATTATAGTCACATCTGCTCCTGCATCCAGGAAAGCCTTTAGATATAATGTTATTTATTCATACCCTTAGCTTTGGTCTTTGTTCATTTATAGAAGTCTGCCAAAATATTCATTTTATGTTTTGTGGGGTTTTTTTTGGAATTTTTGATTCATCTTTCAAAGCTATTCTATCATCCAATGTAGTATGGTATTTTACATTAGCCACTGGATCATCTAATTGTCCTGGGGAGGAGTTTCTTCCACAGTGACTAGAAATGACTGGACCACATTTGATTTGGGAGCCTGCAAGAGACCCCCCCCCAAGTTGTTTCTGGATTGTAAAGGGTTGTTTTATGTGTCTCTTGTTGATCGGCATTTGTAGGTCCAATGTCAGCTTTTGCTGAATCTTCTCTATAATCCAGAAGGTTGGAGCCTTCTCTTTGGGTCATTCCTAGAAGAAACATTGTTTCTAGGATCTCACTGTGTACAATTTCTTATATGGCCAGGTTTACCACAATTAAAACATTTGACACTTTGATGTCTCTTTATGCCTTTGGAAATTGCCTTTCCTATCCAAGTCCCATCACTATAGTTAAGAGATTAAACATTGATTATGTGTTGGATCCATTCTTCTATGGGTGCTGATCTGACCTTTGTAGACAGGGTTACAAGCACCCAGACTGGCCTCAGTGCCTGTGCATGCCTAGAGTGCTCAGGGAGTGCAGGGGCACTTCCAGCTCAGTTCCTTGAGTGCATCTGGTGGAATGTGCTGGGCAAAAGCGGGTAGACGCCAGGTCCCCTTTTGTCCAAATAAAAAGCTGGGTCAGCTGGACCCACGGTTTGACTTATAGGCTCTGGGGCAAGAGGGAATTTGAAGAGATAGGGAAGCAGGTCCCTGGGGGTGGGGCTGCAGAATGCAGATGCCTGGCAGAGGGGCTTAATAGCTCAGTGTGGTTTGCTTGGAGCTTAGAGCATGAGAAATGCCAGCAGTCACAGAGGCTGGGGACGGATGCCATGCAGACTAGCCATGGATGGACCATGGGGCTCAGATCACATGGGCACCAGATAATAAAGGAAACCCACAGATTACTGATAAAAGGACTAGTTATTAATAGATTATATGGGGGAACAACTCACTGATACAGGATAAAGCAAATTCAGTCACAGAGTTGATGGAAGGCTGAGAACCAGTCTCACACTGCTTCACACTGCCTGACTCAGTCTTCACCATCAAAGAGCATGAGAGAAAAGGGCCCCGTGTACATTCTCTCCAGATCTTAAGCTAGTCAAGAGGCCACACCCTAGGGGCTGGTACCCCAAGACCATAGGCAGAATGAGTACCCACTACAGTAAGGTTTTGTTTTGTTTTGTTTTTAGACAGGGTTTCTCTGTGTATATCCCCGACTGTCCTGGAACTCACTCTGTAGACCAGGCTGGCCTTGAACTCAGAGATCTGCCTGCCTCTGCCTCCTGAGTGCTGGGATTAAAGGAGTGCACCACCAATGCCTGGCTAAGGTTAATAACCAATTTTCTCGAGACATAGAAATTGGACACCTGAGAAGGGAGGCAGAGTAGGTATATAAGAAATATGGATACTACCACAAGATGGTAGTTCTAAGTACTGTCTACCTACCTACCTGGGCTTCATTACACCAATCAATACATAGTTAACACTAATTTTGAACTAGTGTCAGTTAAAGAATCACAGGAGACATGGTTTAGATCAGAGGTTCTCAACCTCTGGGTCACAACCCCCTTGGGGTCAAACAATCCTTTCACAAAGGTCTAAGACCACCAGAAAACAATTCAAAACACCAGCAAAATTACAGTAAAGCAGCAATGAAAATAATTTTATGGATGGGGGTCACTACAACATGAGGAACTATATTAAAGGTCATAGCATTAGGAAGTTTGAGAACCACTGGTCTAGGACACTTGCCCTTTGACATTGTTAAGTCTTGAGGCATTCAGAGAACCATGTCCTGGAACTCCATGCTGTTCTTGGGGGGAAAAAAATCTCAGCAGCCTGGATAATTTTCTTTAAAAAAACAAACAAACAAACAAACAGAACATCTCTGGGATGTATTCCTTCATGATCTCATGGAATGGATATCTTCTAAATATAACTTTACATAGAAAACAATGGGAGAACCAGACATTAAAGAGGAGAAACACAGAGAAAAACCTCCAGCAAGATGGTACCAACTGAAAGCATAATTCTGCCAGAATTTATGAGGTCAAATATTCCATGTAGTAATTAAGATTACAATATCTAATTCCTTTTAAAAACATAATTTTCAAATGAAATCCCTATTCCTCTTGCTCTTAGAAAGTCAGAGCTGTCAAGTAGTTTGGCTGTACCATAACATTCCCTTAACAATTTAGGAGTGATGCCTGATTCATCAACAAAAATGGGTGAGCAAGGAAGTTCATGCACACTTTGGTCATTAGGAAGATTGTCGGAGCTATAGAAATCCACCCTCTGCTGCCAGTGCTGGTATTCCCAACTGGACAGTAATGGCCACAAGCTTGACACCCAGCATGGAAAAGAAACTCACAAACCTTTAATCAGTGGTTTTCAACCTTCCCAATGCTATAACCCTTTGACAGAGTCCCTTGTGCTGTGGATGCCCCCCAACCATAAAATTATTTTGTTATTTCATAACTGTAATTTTGTTACTGCTATGAATTGTAATATAACTATCTATGTTCTCTAATGTGAAAGGGTCGCTGGATACCAAAGGGGTCATGACCCAGGTTGAGAACCACTGCTTTAGATAATACTCTGACAGGGGTCTTGTCTACCAAAGAGACAGGCTCAGAGATTTTTGGCACATTCACTTCATGTGGCTGTAAGTACACACACGTGTGGAAGATCCTTTCCAACAAATCTTTTGTCACCTCATCCCCATCATCTCAGTGTCCCTGCAACACTTCTGTTTCTCACCTCACTTGGTAGGTCAATGACACTTTCCTAAGGGACTGGGAAAGACCAGAGTCTTACTCTGTACAGTACAGATCCAAGAGATAGGAATCTCTCAGTCACACTGGGGAATCCGTGACATCAAAAGGACTCAATTCACACTGCTTTCAGGAGCAAAGGCACTTTTCACACCTACTGTTTTCCTTGGAATGAACACTGGAATAACAAGTGGCCCTTACATTCAAGCATATAATTTAGCACACAGAGCTCTTTGGTGTTTTCAGTAGGGCCTTAGCAATAGAGCACATTATGTTAAACTAAATTGAGAACTCTCTGCCATCTTGTGGTCTTCTCTGAGGCAAATAAAGATCATGCTTATAAATAGCACTATCAGTATGCCTGTAAATAAAGACCACTCCATGTTGGCAGAACTAAATATTAATCTTAATCCTCCCTACACTGTAAACAGAACTAAATGTAATGGCTGCTATTATATATATATATATATATATATATATATATATATATATATATATATATATATATATATACCTTTGTCACTGTGAAAAGCAACAGCAAAAGATAAGGCAGTTTCAAAGTTGGGACATAGCAACATTACTGTCACAAGTCCACATTTTTGATAAAGGAATGTCTGGAAATCTGCAGACCTGTGATAATATGTTGCTTGTAATCTAAGAAATAAAAGCTTGCCTGAAGATCAGAGGACAGAGCTAGTCACAGAGTTAGCCATAGATGTCAGGCAGTGGTGGCACACAACTTTAATCCTAGCACTAGGGAGGCAGCAGCAGAGATCTGTCTGGATTCCTGTGAGTTCAAGGCCGAATGGGCTACATGAGATTAATCCAGTCTAAAAAAGGAAACGGAGCCAGGCAGTGGTGGCACTCACCTTTAATTTCAGCACTTGGGATCATACACCTTTAATCCCAGCACTAGGAAGGTTGACACAGGAAGTGATACGGCTGAGCAGAGAAAGCAATATAAGGCAGGAGGAGACAGGAACTCAGTCTCTTTCAGGCTGAGGAGTTGGTTAGGTAAGAGGTAGCAGCTGTGGCTTGTTCTGCTTCTCTGATCTTTCAGCTTTCACCCTGATATCTGGCTCCAGGTTTTTATTAAGACCAGTTAAGGTTTGTATAACATCTGGCACCCAACATGGGGCACAAATTCACAAAAAAGCCACAGGCCAGAGCTGCACTTGGCCAGAGTCCCTACCCTACTGGCTAAGAATCTGTTGCAGCCTATCTGCAGCAAACTCCATAGGCTTTTAGACTCCAAAAGCCACGGGAGTTAGCTGCTTTTGCATGTTCCCCTGTGCAGAGAGCTGGATCTTTCACTTCTTTCTTCTCCCAGTGGGTTGTGGCTTTCCCTGGGCCCCTCTTCAGGATGCTGCCACACCTTCAACCAAATCATCATTGTCAGTAGATTTGGTGAGTCAATTGGAATTTCTTAAAGGGGGGAATTAGTTTAAAAAAAAGTCAGAATGTTTTCCCACATTAAAAATGGGAAACACTATTACAATGGAAGCAGTCTGATCTCTGACAATACACTAGATGGTTTGAAAATGGAACAATTAAATGAGAGGATAACTAACTTAGATGGAATTTACATGTCAATTATAAATATTATTGGTTTGATCATTCTTGTTTTATCCCTAAAAAGTTGGTTTATATGAGTGCCAAGTTGGTTGATATGAGTGCCATGATACAAATTTTAGAAACTTATTAAAACAGGTCATAGAGATATTCATACCCAGAGGAATTTAAAGGAGAACCAATCTCAACATTGAATTATAAGGTTACAGAGAAACAGTCTAAGGCTCTCAAACAGCCAACCTTAATTTATCCAGTAACATTACAGGAACTACCAAATGACAGATATCCCCAAGTCTGTATATGAGCTGAATAGACTCCTGTGCAAATGTTAGATTTGAGGAGATTCAAGGAAACAATAGTCTCATATGGCATGCACTCACCTTTTGTGAAGCAGATATTAAACTCATGGTCAACTTGTAATAGAATTATCCCTCAAGAATGAAGAGGTTTGGTTACAGCAGTCTTGGAGGCTGGGCCACAGTTACAGTGGAGGACCTGATGGAAGGATGAGGCTAAGACTATTGAACAACAGAGTAGGGCTAGAGGTATTGAAATTTCCCAAGATCAACTTCTTGGAGAGGATGATTATGCTAATATACAAAGACAATCTTCATATGGTGACCACATCCTGGCTTTATGCCATGCAGCAGCCTTGAAAACTTGGGACAGAATTGAAGAAGTAGGAAAGAAAATTGAATCCCAAAGTTACAGAGGTTCCAAAAGAAACTTTCACTGATTTCTTACAAAGATTGACTTCAGTAGTAAATATAATTGAGTTTCTGGCTTTTGCAAATGCTAATGCACAATACAAAAGGGTATTTAGGCCGTTAAGGGCAAGATCAGCATCCTTGGAGGAATGGATCCAAGATACAATCTACATTGAATCTCATGACCATGATGATGCCTGAATAAAAGAGATGATTTCCAGAGGTTTGAAGAAAAATTGTAATGTCAAATGTTTCAATTGTGGTTAACAAGGTCACTTAAAAAGAGACTATAAACAGAAACAATATTTTTTTTTCCAGAGCTAAGGACCGAACCCAGGGACTTGCGCTTGCTAGGCAAGCGCTCTACCACTGAGCTAAATCCCCAACCCCAGAAACAATATTTTTGCTAAGAATAATCCCAATAGAAATACCCTCCCTTCTGGATTATGCAGAAGATGTGGCAAAGGCAGACACTGGACTAACAAATATATATCAACAAGGGACAGACAAGGTAATCCCTTCCTTTGCCATCAGGAAATGACCTGAGGGACTTCTTGCACACCCCCATGTCGAATTCCATTCATCATGAAAGAAACTCCTTCCCAGAGCAATTAAAGAACCTAATTGTAAAAAAACAAAACAAAACAAAAAACAAACAAAAAAAACAAAACAAAAAAACAAAACCATACTGCTCTGGATCAAAATTGATAAAGATTAGATTTGGAAGCTCCCCAAAGTTAGCACTGGGGAAGGGTTTTGTTTTTGTCTTTCAGTAGAATGAAGGTTAAGGAATCTGAAGAACACTGGACAAACGAGACATCTGAAGAAAAAGGACAAATCATCCAGAAAAAAATGTCCCAAGAAAGAGTAAATTGGCCTATTGGTTTATCACATATCTAACAGGATAAAATTTCATAAATCTGCCTAAATGTTTGTTTCTGCTGTTCTCTACAGACATATAACGCAAATGGTCTTTATGTAGTCCCAGTTCAATTAAAAATTAAAGCTGGCTTTGGAGTTGGAGCATGGCTCTCTCCTTCCCTAAACCCAAGCATGCTTGTTAAAGGAAAATGCAAAAATCTTTGTATCATGTCAGAAGAGCCACCTGATATGGGACAGCAGAAAAAACAAAATTAAGGGGCTATTCTATTACTACTAATCTCATGATCCTTTTGTTTTATTTTGACTCTTTAAAACTTTTCTTAATGTATGAATTTTATATCAAAATTTATAAGATTTATATATATATATATATATATTAAACTTTTATCATATTACTGGTCATATAGAGTACTAACTAATTCTAGAAAAAAGGCTTCATCTAGCTTCCTGTGCACGATTTCAGGTTTGAGTCTCTATCAGTTTTCTGCAGTGAACCATGACCACACCCAACATTGGCTTTTGAAGTCTCCAAAAGGATGATGGGTCCTATGACGATGATTTCACCAGGACTATGATAAGGCCACTAAGCTGATAAACACCACCTAAAGATCAGCTTTGGACTACAAACTGCCCAGGACAATTTTGAGGTGGATAGCTAAGATGCTACCACCTCACAGACTATTCTAACCATGACTTGAGACAAGCCCTACACTTTCCCTTATGCAGAAACTGGACAACAAATGATACAGCTACCTCTCCCAGGACTTGACAATTAACCAAAAATTTTCCTTTCAGAATACCCTAAAGATGACTTTGCCCCCAGGCAGCAGAATGTAAATTTATAAACACAACACCCACATTCTCTAGAGAGGGGGTGGGTGGCTTTTGGTCGTTCAATGGGTTATAGATAATTGTTATTGTTTAGGGTGGTTGGTAACAAGTTGTTATTGATAATGGTCAGGAAAAATGCTAAACAAAGGAGACTGGATTCCGGGTTCTTGTTTGAAAAAAAAACAACAACATAGAAGTGATAGGATAAAAGGGTAGATTATTAAATCACTCTGAAAAGAAAAAAGGGGAGGATATGGATATAAGATTAAAAGGTAATTATCGAATCTACTTTTGAAAAGCAACTACAAGTTTTAAATATTTTACATTGGATTGGATTTGTATATGTGAGATTAATTCAGTCTAAAAGACAAACAGAACCAGGCAGTGGTGGCACTCACCTTTAATTCCAGCACTAGGAAGGTTACTCCAGAGAGTGATACGCTGAGGAGAGAAAGGAATATAAGGCAGGAGGAGACAGGAACTCAGCCTCTTTCAGGTTAAGGAGTTGGTAAGAGGCAGTGGCTGTGGCTTGTTCTGCTTTTTCTGATCTTTCAGCTTTCACCCTCATATCTGGCTCCAGGTTTTTATTAGGACCAATTAGGATTACTGCAACAGAGACCTTAGCTGGGTTCCTTTTAGTCAAAGCTAGCTACTTGCTCAGATTCTAATTATAAAGGGAGGAAGGGAAGCCTCAGCGGGCTCCGGGACATTCATGATTACCTGTAGAGGATAGCAAGCAAATATTTGCCTTCCTAGGGTAGAATGGATCGATGAAAACAGATGGATACAATGAGATGGCATCCATAAACTTTGGCAGTGACATAACTCTCTCAAGAGCCATGAACAGTTTAGAAAGTTGAATACATCCTATGATAATTTCCTATACATGATACTAACTGGGAATCTCCCCTGATAGAAGAATGGACCAGGTTAATCTGCAGGATGATGGGTTTTGTATAAATAGTACTTACTGAGCTTTGCTTTGAAGTGACTATTAGCTTACAAAAGGAAACAGCAGATTTCTCCCTTGCCATAAGGCTTTTCTCTAGGATAATTTTGTTGTTGTTGTTTTGGTTTTTCGAGACAGGGTTTCTCTGTGTAACAGCCCTAGCTGTCCTGAACTTGCTTTGTAGACTAGGATGGCCTTGAAATCACATAGATACACCTGCCTCTGCCTCTCAATTAAAGGTGGAATTAAAGGTGTGCACCACCATGCCTGCTGAATTATTTTTCATGCTAAACAAGTTGAAGAGGTACAGCTAAAAGGTCACCAAAGCTGTTGCACACACGAGGCCTTTTTTCCACGTGCACTTTCTGGTGTCGTGTAAGATGAGAACTTCTGCTAAAGGCTTTTCCACAATCAGTGCAGATACAGGGCTTTTCTCCAGTGTGAACTCTCTGGTGAACAATGAGGCTAGAATTGCGACTGAAGAATTTCCCACATTCACTGCACTCATAAGGCCTTGCTCCAGTATGAACTTTCTTGTGCTGAACAAGGTGGGAGCTACTAATGTAGGTTTTCCCACATTCCTTACACACATAAGGCCTTGCTCCAGAATGAACTCTCTGATGTACAATGAGGCTAGAGCTATGACTGAAACATTTCCCACATTCATTGCATTCATAAGGTTTGGCTCCAGTATGAATTCTCTGGTGTACAATAAGTTGGGAACTTTGACGAAAGAATTTCCCACATTCACCACATTCATAAGGCCTTTCTCCAGTGTGGATATTCTGGTGCTTTACAAGCGTGCCTTTGAGGCGGAAGGCCTTCCCACATTGACTACACTCATAGGGCTTTGTACCAGTGTGAATTTTCTGGTGATGAACAAGTGTGACTTTGTAGCCAAAGGCTTTCCCACACTTGCTGCAAATATAGGGCCCTTCTCCAGTGTGGATTTTCTGGTGCTTTACAAGTGTGTCTTTGTGACTGAAGGCCTTCCCACATTGACTGCACTCATATGGCTTTGTACCACTGTGAATTATCTGGTGCTGAACAAAGGTGTCTTTGCAGCCAAAGGCTTTTCCACACTTGCTACAAACATAGGATCTTGCTTTGGTATGGACCCTTTGATGTTTTATAAGGATGGAATTTTGGGTGAAGAATTTCCCACATTCACTACACTGGTAAGGTTTTTCTCCTGTATGACATCTTTGATGTTGAACAAGTGTGTCTTTACGACTGAAGGCTTTGTCACAATCGCTGCACTTAAAAGGCCTTTCCCCTGTGTGAACTCTCCGGTGCTGAATAAGTGTGCTTTTGTGGCTGAAGATCTTCCCACATTCATCACATGGGTAATGACTTTTCCCACTGTGAACTTTCTGGTGTATTTTTAGATGAGACAGGTGAGTAAAGGTCTCGCCACACTCCTTACATACACAAGGTGTTTCTCCTTTGTGGATGTTTCTTTGATTAAAAAAAGGTGACGTCTCCTTGAACACATTTCCAACCGGCAGACACCTAATGGGTTTCACCTCAGTAAGAGGTGTATGACTGTCAAGAGAAGTAACACTGCTCAGGGAGGCATTCCCATTATCACTGCCTTTGAGAGTCGCCCCATCACCATCTCCTTGGTGTTTCCCAAGACCGGATCTATGTATGAGAGGCTCGGGGGACTCAGTCTTTTTGTGTAGATTCACCTCATTGTGCACTGGGCACTGGGTGTGGCCCTGAAGAAGGGTGGAACTGTTCAGCTGGTCCGTCTCTTCTTCTTTGCATGTAAATGGGGTCTCAGTCACGTGAACGGCATTCTTCACACATGACGTTTCTCTGTCTTCCCATCCAGTGGGTTTCTCTCCACAGTGTTGCTTCTTATGCCGGGAAGGTTTTGTAGTGAGTAAGAATCCTCTCAAATTGAGCCCACATCTATGCAGCGCCTGCTTAGGGCAGAAGCCATGGTGGTCAGCCAGGTGCAGAATGGTCTTCAGGAGTGGGTCATACTTCTCACAGGGGTGGGAAGTTTGCATCGAGAGACTTGATTCAGCAGTCCTGGTCTGTGGCACGGCTTCTACAGAGATGCTGTGCTCACAAGGAGCCTCCTTGCCATCTGATTCACACCAACAACCTGAAAGCAAAGGAAAGCTGATGACGAGCAGGTTGGCTTTGAGGGGAAGCAGCAGCCTATCATAATGAAAGCCTATCAGTTTGTCTGAGGAGGCAGGATCCGTGTGAGAGTCAGTAGTTGGTACTGGGCATTGAGGGGTCACACAAGGGAGGAACTTTAACACTGAGTAAAGGTCTACTAATGGGATGTGGGATACAGAACAGAGGGGAGAAGCTAGTTTTCATGGGGGTGTGGGGCAAATGGGTTTCAGAAGGATGTTGGCTGCTGGTCTTAAATGAGCTGGGTAGAAGGGTAAGTCCACTCTTACAAAAATCTGCCTCCAAAGGTTTCCCAAATACTCAGACTTGTTTCCTGTGAAGGCAGGACAGTGTTGTAGGTAAAGAAGAGCACATGAGACACAGAACAGAAAAGCATGAAAACGGCCAAGGGAAGCAAGACAGAAGAGAAGGACACGTGGGCAGAGAGCCAAGAATGGGGGGGGAAGAACAGAAGTGACACAACAAGCTATGTTGGCAAGAGACACTGCCAGACACAGAACAAGTTCAAGGCTGAGGTTTGATCTGAAGCCAGCTCTAAGATGATATCTCTGCAGCTCTCATCCACGTGGGCCGGACCTTCACCAGGCCTACCCCAGTGTGCCTAAAGTAATGTCTGTCCTATCACACTGCTTTTCTCCAAATGAGCATCTCTGCTGTGGGATGTTCTGTATGTCAAATGTGTTGTTCTGATTGATTAATAAATAAAACACTGATTGGCCAGTAGCCAGGCAGGAAGTATAGGCGGGACAAGCAGAGAAGAGGATTCTGGGAAGTGGAAGGCTGAGGCAGAGAGACGCTGCCAGCCGCCGCCATGACAAGCAAGATGTAAGGTACCAGAAGGCCACGAGCCATGTGGCAACTTATAGACTAATAGACATGGGTTAATTTAAGATAGAAGAATTAGATAGCAAGAAGCCTGCCATGGCCATACAGTTTGTAAGTAGTGTGAGTCTCTGTGTGTTTACTTGGTTAAGTTTGAGCGGCTGTGGGACTGGCGGGTGAGAGAGATTTGTCCTGACCATGGGCCAGGCAGGACTGGAGAAAAACTCCAGCTACACATCTCCAAATGAGCACCTCCATGGGACCTTTAGGAAAGAAGCTGGCTGGGTGTTGATGGTGCACATCTTTAATTCCAGCAGAGGGAGGAGGATCTGAGTTCAAGGCCAGCCTGGTCTAGAGAGTGCATTCTAAGACAGCCCAGGGCTACACATCGAAAACAAAACAAACAACAAAAACAAACCAACAAAAAAGCTGGAAGGAAAAACAAGGTCATCTGGGTGTAAAGTCCTGGCAAACTGTATCCCTCATTTATGAGAACTGCCCACAGGCTTGTGAGGCTTTTGAGGTAAGGCCAGCAAGATGACTCAATAATTAAGGCACTTGCTGCCAAGCCTGACAGGCTGAGGTGAAGCCCCAGGGGCATATGATAGAAAGAGTCCTGCAGGTTGTCCTCTGACCTCATTTATGTGTCATGCACATGCACAATAAGAAAAATTTCAAAAGAGATGCAGACAGATCCAAGGCTGCTCAAAGTACAATTTCTTAGTAACTTTCTAACAGAAACACAGTCAAGGCTGATGTTAAAATCAGTCAAAATCAGGAATGCTTTGTGACAAGGTCAGTGGAAGGCACTCATCAATTGCTCAGGACCAAAGTGGAGACAGTTCAGCCCTAGAGGGCGAGGTATCCCAGAAACCTCGAGCTACTCAGAACAAGAGCTCTGGTGTTATTTCCCATAGAACATACCTCGTATAGCTGAAGAACATGGAGAACAGTTGTGTTGATAGAATAATGGTTTTTGTTTGTGGTGCACTTAAAAAGTATATAGAAGTGCTAAGTGGTAATGGTGCATGACATTAATCCCTTGGGAGGCTGAGGCAGGTGGATCTCTGTGAATTCTAGGCCAGCCTGGTCTACAGAGATAGGACAGCCAGGGCTGTTACACAGAGAAACTCTATCTCAAAAAACCATCAGCAACAACAACAAAAAAATGATGTGGCTAATCTGTGTCAACCATGGTGGTTTGCAACCAAGAAGGCATTGGTAGGATCAAGCTGAGTCCCTACATTCCATCCTCAGTGATGACTCTTTTTTTTTTTTTTTTTTTTTTTTTTGGTTTTTCGAGACAGGGTTTCTCTGTGTAGCTTTGCGCCTTTTCCTGGAACTCACTTGGTAGCCCAGGCTGGCCTCGAACTCACAGAGATCCACCTGTCTCTGCCTCCCGAGTGCTGGGATTAAAGGCGTGCGCCACCACTGCCCAGCTTTCAGTGATGACTCTTAAAGGCTCACATACCTCCTCTTCTGTAATCTGCCCTGGGCTAGTGAGGGGTTTAACATTCTGATGCCAGGTACTACAAAGCTGTTTGTCCAGAGTATAAGCAGCATCTACCACAACAGCCAAAGAGCTTGCATAAAAGGAGACCAAATAATCATGTAAAAAACAAGAACAATAATTTTTTTAAATTAAGTTAATAAAAATATGTTTATTTTGTTTGTATGAGTGTACCTGAGTATATGTATGTACACCATATGCATGCAGGTACCTGGCAAGGTCAGAAGAGAGTGTCACATCTCCCAGAACTGGAGTTAAAGGTGGTTGTAAAGCACTGGATGTGGGTGATTGAAATTGAATCCAGGTCCTCTGGAGGAGAATCAAGTGCTCTTTACTGCTGGGCCTTCTCTCCAGCCCCAACAATCTTTTTTTTTTTTTTTTTTAATTTTTTTCTACTAAGAGGCCTGAGAAACAAATCATTAGCCAATTATGTCACCCACAGAAGGGACAGGATTGGATAAGACATTAACCTGGGCTTGTGACAGCACAGCATAGTGACAGAACAGTAAGAACTATACAGAGACCCTGAATAACTCTCTCTCTCTCTCTCTCTCTCTCTCTCTCTCTCTCTCTCCCCCCCCATCCCCCCTCTCTCTCCCTCCCTCCCTCTCTGTCACACACACACACACACACACACACACACACACACCTGTCCCTAAGATATGAGCAAACATTGGCAAGGACATGAGTTGGTAAGAAGTCCTGTGGATGGCAGCCTGAAAGATGGCTGCCACTGATCTCTGCCTGCTAGCACTATGACTGTCATGGAAGCCTCTGCCTCTGTCATAGGCAGGACTTACTAACTCGGGTACAAGGAAGATCACCTTTAAAACCAGTCTCCCAGTCACTTTCTAGAATACAAGTTACCTTCCATGTTCTGATGTTCATCACACAACAGACATGACTGAGAATCATGCTCCCAGTTCAACATCCTACATCCTTATAAGCAGATTCTTCCAAAGACAGGTTTTCAGAAGACACCAGAGGTCTGCTTGACAGCTTAACTGAAACCCCATCTCACTCTGAGCTAAGCAGTTCCCACAATCCAAAGGGATTAAAATGGAGCAATAATACCTCCCACCCCCAAGGCAAGGTTTCTCTGTGTAATGGCCCAGACTGTCCTAGAACTTGCTTTGTAGACCAGGCTGGCCTCAAACCAGAGTACTAGCTTTAAAGGCATGCACCACCACACAGGCTGAGACAACTTTTCAGTGTATTAAGCTATTAAATTTGTAATCTACCAAGTAGCAATGAGACAGATACTTACCAAGTGTGGCCACAAGTGAAAAGTTCTCCAGCATCACATTGAGGTAGAGTAGCCTCTGTGGCTCATCAAGGAGTTCCCACTCTGCCCAGGAGAAGTTGACATACACATCCTCAAAGGTCACACGGCCCTAGCATGATGGAAACAGTTAAGCCCACCAGAAGCATCTTCCATAGAAACCACCCTTCAGTCTATCTCATGTACACACATCCCTTTATCCCTCCCTCCCCAAGTCTACCATCTTACAGGATACACTAAGCCATGAAACTACCGATGTCTACTCTTTCCCTGTGTCTCTCATTCCACTGTGTGCAGAACATCAAAGAACCAGGTAATGTGCAAATCGGTATCATCTAAACATGGAGTCTTAAGCCAGCAAGATGGCTCAGTGAGGAAAGCCACTTGCCTGCTTGGTAAGCCTGATGACCTGAGTTTGATGCCCAGAACCCATGTAAAAATGAAAGAGAAACTACTCCACAAAGCTGGCCTCTAACCTACACACACACACACACACACACACACACACACACACACACACACACACACACACACACACACACACACTCACTCACTCACATTTGCATTCTGAAGCGAGGGGTCTGCTGTTAAAACCTGTGCCACAACCCCTCCATCTCTGCACTGAATTTCCCAGTCACCCTTGGGAAGGAAACTCAGATCTGAGGTCCTCAAACCTCAACTGGAGCCTGAACCCCTGTTCTCAGAAGGCTTGAGGTTTCTGAAACTCCTCACTGTTACATCCGAGTATTGTTGTCCGCCAATGCTAAGAAGCAGGACCTGGCATTCCCCTGACTGGGTGCTTATACTCAGGGAGAGGAAGCAATGAAGCCGAGACGTCCAGGACACACAAACCTCTGTATCTGGATGAGAACTTCCAATCACCTGAGCACGGTCCATCTGTGAAACAGCCAAGTGGGCAGGCAGGCGGGGGCGCCCTGTCGCAAACCCACATCTGGGGTGCCCTCAGCCTGCACGGTGCACCAATGCCTACAAGGCTTAGGGGACTAACTCTAGGTGCGACCAGGTTAGGAACTGCCAGCTGTCACACGGGTATGGAGAAAGATGCTTTGGTCTCGCTGTCTTCCCTGCTGGGCTCCAATGTGATCTGGCCAGTCCACACCTAAACCAGTTTGGAGGACGCCGGCAGCAACCCAGACGTCACAATTGTGGCGACGGAAGTCCCGCCCGGCCCAATCTTGCCGTTGGCCTAGGACTGTGGGTAATGTAGTTTCTTCCCTGTACCCTGCCATGTAGCTGATCCTGACTCCTTCAGGCCACTGCCTGGAGAGAAGAAAGATAGAGAAAATAGTATCTTGGTCCACCACCCTCACCTTATGTGGAATTCACTCTGATTTCTCTGGCTACTTGGGTTAATGCCATTACTCAGGAATCTCCAGCACACGCCTTATTCTTTTAACCCTCCTGCTTCTGAGGTCCAGGGAGAGCTGCTTCGAATCTATCAGTCTTGGGGATGGAGGTTTTAGTTTTTCAACACGTAGTGGACTTCATTCATGGGGCCCTTGCGTTTCAAATGAAATAGTGCTCTAGTTCATGGGCCCCAAATTTGGGTATCTCGTTTGACAGAATAGCGACTTCGAGAGAGAGCAAGCTTAATGTCTAAGAACACTTGCTGCTCTTGCTGAAGACTCAAGTTGAGTTCCCAGCACCCAGCAACATTAGGTTGCTCTTGTCCACCTGTAAAACTCACTCCCGAGGGATCCTGATGCCCTCCTCTGAAGGCTTGGTTCTGCCTCAACTGAATGTACCAGGCTCTGCGGACTTCCCAAGGGAGCCTTTATTTATCCTTTTGAAAGAGTTGATGGGGGTGTGTCGGAGGCGGGGGATGCTGGTCGGGAGTGGGAGGAGGGATTAGAGGGGGATCTGGGGTTGGTATGTAAAATGAATAAAAAAAATTCTTAAATTATTTTTAAAAGTAGGTACCACAGTAATTACTAGTAAGCTTGATGCTGATCTTGCTAAACAGACAAATCCCTAAAATACCAGGTATGGAAAGGATGACACGACTCTGATATTGAGTACATTTTCATGAGTGTTGGAGCTTCTGAAGTCTTGAATGTACTGGGTCTGTCAAGCTACATACATGCCTTTGTAAATAGTCATTCTTGATCTCATTAATCAGGTGGTGAGTGGTGAAATGTAGCAGAGCTGAAGGATAGAATTCAATAATTACTTTGTGAACAGGATAGAATGGTCATGTTGAAATTGGTTTGATTTTAAAATGAACAATAAATTAAATACAAAACAAAAAGAATACAAACAGGCTAAGAGATGGCTCACAATTAAGAGAATTGCTGTTCTTGCAGAAGACCTGAGTCCGGTTCTCAGGACCCACATTGGATGGTTCTCACAACCATCTGGAGCTCCAGTTCCAGGGGATTCAATATCCTCTTACATGCAAATATGCAGATACCCAAATACACAATGAAAAAAAAACCTTAATAAACAAAAAAACTCCAAAGGAAAAAAACCAAAAATTATCAGGCCACTGTGGAAAAGATACAACATAGAGAGCCTGAGACTTATCCTTTTGACCATGCAAATTTCCCTCTTACTTGGAGTTTGTAACTTAGACTTCAGGTTTCATAGTAGCCCCAGATGGGGAGTGGCTGGATTCTTGTACCTAAATTGTTTGTTTCAACAATGTGGCTCATGTGGAATACCTCCCACCCTTCTGGAAGTCTAGAATTGGACACAGCATAGGCTCAAGCCACATCTTAAACGAACCCAGTAGAACTCAGTATGAGCGTCAAATGAGATGTTCTAACAATGACCTCCCACAGTGGTCATGAGTCCCTGATAAGGCTCAAACTGAGCACATCCCACATGACTTCATTGGATATTGTTTGCTTTTTCTCTGGACTCCAGCTAATGAGCTTCTTTTGTTTATTGAACCTGTTTCATTGAAAAATATAAAAACAGAAAGAATGGAAAGTGCAACAGTTGACTAGACATGACAAAAGAAAGACATGGTATTTCAAATCAATAGACATTAACCAATATAAAGAGAAAAAAGGAAGAAAAAGTGAGAGCCCAAGGATGCATGGGACAATAACAAAGTATTTATCATTTGTATTACTGAAATTCCTGCAAAAGAACAGAAAGAATTTGGATGAAAAAAAATAACTTTAAATCTCCCAAGTTTGGCAAAGGACATAAACCTTCAGAACAAAAGAAAAAATCAACACCAATCAAAATAAACTCTCACAGCTGGGATCCCACTATTCAGGACACCGAAACAGGAAGAGTGCTTCAAGTTCAAAGCTAGGCTGGGTTCACTAGTACCAGACCTGCCCCGACTATATATCAGGACACTATCAAAAAAAAAAAAGAAGAGAAACTCAAATTTTTCATACCTGGTGCATTACAAACTTTTGAGCATTACAGAGAAAAGCATTTTGAATATACCTCAACTGAAATGACAGATTCTGAACAGTTCAATTGGTAGATTTCTAACCAGAAACCATAGTTGAGGGAAGGAATGGAAGGGATGGAATAATACTGAAAATACTTTCGCAATATGGATCCTATATGCCACAAAAACTACATTCAAGAAAGAAGGGAATGTGAGGGCGTCCTTAGATGAAAGAAAATGAGAATGTCACCAGCCTAGCATAGAGAAAATTCACTAATTAGAAAGGAAATATTAACAGAAGTTTTGCAATTTCAAGAAGAAAAAAAAAAACAATGGAATGGGTACAGGTAAAAGGGAACTGTGGTAATAAGGCAGGTATACACCAAAGTGCTAAATGTTATAGTATGTTAAAGTCATGTATTGGTTTGGTTATTTGACATCATCTAGGATCACTATGAAGGGAGGGTCAGTGAGGGATTGTCTAGATCAGGTTGGGCGTGGGCATATTTGCGAAGGATTACCTTGATTATATTAACTGAAGTGAGAAGACTTGCACACTATGTATCATACCTTGTACAGAGAATTGTGGCTTGCATAAGAGTAGAGAAAGGAAGCTGGGCGGTGGTGATGCAAAGCCTTTCATCCCAGTACTTGGAAGGCAGAGCCAGGTGGATCTCTGTGAGTTCGAGCCCAGCCTGGTCTACAGAGTGAGATCCAGGACAGGAACCAAAACTACACAGAGAAACCCTGTCTTGAAAAAAAACAAAAGAAAAAAAAGGGGGCGGGGCTGGAGAGATGGCTCAGCATTTAAGAGCACCTGTCCTTCTCACAAACAAACCATGTTCAGTGGCTGGTACCTATAGAGTAGTAAAAGTAACTCCAGTTCCAGGACATCTGATGACCTCTTCTGGCCTCCAAGGGCACTGCAAGCACATGGTGCAGACATAAATGCACTCAATACACCCATTTACATACAATAAAAATCTAAAGAGTTCAGAGTAAGCTGAGTACTTGCATTAATGTATTAATTCATTGTTTTCTGATGTCATTATTTACTTCAAGTCCCTGCCACTCTGACTTCCTGCCATGATGCATCACATCCTGAAACTGTGAGCCAAATAAACCTTTTCTCCCTTAAGCTGCTTTTGTCAGAGTACTTTATCACAGCAAACATCTTCAAGACTGAATGCTTCACTGGAGAATGCTACAAAACATTACAAAAACACACAGTACCAATTTTACAAACCATCTTCCAAAAAAAAAAAAAAGGAGGAAAGCATAATCCCCAAGTCATACTGAAAGGCTGGTATCACTCTGACACCAGACAATGTCAAACACAAGACAACAATGACAGTAAACCCATCACTCAGGAAACTGGGGAAAACCTCAATAAAACAATAGCAAGTACTAACAACACAAAATCTAAACAAAATTATACACTATGGCTCTTCTCAGAATGCAAGTCTGGTTTACTATTCAAAGCTGAATGTGAAGCATCACATCAATAGACTACAACTCAACACATTGATTAACACATCTGATGAATTCCAACACCCAGTAACAAAAATACCTCAGCAAAAGGAAATTTCCTACATTTGATTTAACACACACACACACGCACACACACACACACACACACACACACACACACACACACACACACTCCTTACACTTAACATCACTCATGAGAAACTGAACACATCAGGAACCAAGTCTAGGTAAATTCTCACTAGTTTTAATGTCATACTGAAAGTGCTAGTGCAATGCAAAGAACAGAAATACAAGCTATATAGATGAAACCAGGTAGTGGGGGTGCACGCCTTTAATTCCAGCATGTGAGAGGCAGAGGGCAGTCAGATTTCTGAGTTTGAGGCCAGTCTGGTCTACAGAGCAAGTAGCAGGACAGCCAGGGCTACCCAGAGAAACCCTGTCTTAAAACAAAAGAAAGAAAAGAAAAAAAGCTATACAGATGAGAGGGAAGAAAAACTATTTGACTGTTTACAGACATTTATGTGTTTAATATTTTAAGGATTCTCAAAAATTCTAAAAATGATTAGAAATACTTCAACAAAGTTGTAGAAGAAAAAAAGACCCTTTCTGTACACTATACCAAATTCAATACCATGTAGAAATTCAAAGTTTAAACATCCCAATTATAATTACTAAAAAATAAAAGATATAAATATCCCTTAAAATGTACAGAAGTTATATGGGTATAAACTATAAAAACAGCAATGAAATAAGTCAAGGAATACTTAAATGAAAAGACATACCATGTTGTTGAGCTGGAAAATTTAAAACAAAGATATCAATTCTCAATAAACTGATCCACAGATCTAACTCAACTTCTATTAAAATTTGAACAAGATCTCATTTTTTACAAAACCAGAAAGACATATACTGAAATTACATAGAGATTTAAAAAAAAATAGTGCTAAATCAGTTTTAAATAAAGAATCATCTTATCCAATTTTGATATTTACTATATAGCTTCAGCAATCAGGGAATTCAATAACTGGGAATCAATGAAAGTTCTAAGTAGTGTTTGGAATGACATAGTTTTTTTCAGACTTAAAATCTTAAGTGGTGCATAAAAAAAGTGGCCATTTGTATGTATTTGCAACATGCCTGGCATGACAAAAGTCCTGGGTCTAGTCTCAGGAACACACACACACACACACACACACACACACACACACACACACACACACACACACACTCTGCCTTACCTTCTTAAAGTATTTCATAACTTAAGCTTTCATATTTCTCATACAACTAATGCTGTACTAGAGAAATACGTGGAACAAGGGAAACAGTAAGTTTCTAGATTTGTTCTCAATTTTTTAATACTAGACAGCAATGCCATACATATATATTCATAGTCTCTCTCTCTCTGTATATATATATATATATAAATAAATGTATGTATGCATGTATGTATACACAAACACAAGACATATGAAGGGTCATCATCCTTTACCCCTTCACTCTCACCCACATTAGAAATCCATTAGCAAATGGCAAAGACTTGGCAGGACAGTGTGAAAGCAGTGCTTACGTTTTTCATCCCTATGCCACCTCCTTTTCACAAAAATATCACCTCCTGAACTAACACTACACTGCAAAGTAGGAGAGAGATACACCTGGGAAGGTTTTCATGAGTGCAAAACAACCACTGGGTGTCTCTCCTACATTCTCAGGGGGAAAATAATGCTCAATTTCTAATATGTTTTCATAGGACAAGCAGCAATCTGCAACAAGTTTTCTCACAGTGAAGACACTTTCAGGGGTTCTCTTTGGTATGAATTAGCAGGTGCTATACAAGATGTGTCTGCCTGGAAAAGATTTTCCTCAGTGGTTACATTAAAAAAGTCGTTTCCCAATAGAAGTTCTTGGATGTTGACAGAAGTCTGCCCACTTGTGAAAGGCTTTTCCTCACCTGCTTCACTGGTAGGGTTTCTCTCACTGTGCATCCTTCGATGATGAGTGAGGGATGAGCTGCGGCTGAAGGCCTTTCCACATTCACTGCATCCATAGGGTTTCTCTCCAGTATGGATGATGGAGTGTCGGATGAGGTTTGTGCTCCAACAAAAGGTTTTCCCACACTCAACACATTCATAAGGTTTCTCGCCACTATGAATCCGCTGGTGCCTTGTGAGTCCTGACCTACGGTTGAAGGCCTTACCACATTCTATGCACTCATAGGGCTTCTCTCCAGTGTGGATGCTGAAGTGTCGAATAAGGTCAGCTCTATTGCTAAAGGCTTTCCCACATTCTTTGCACTCAAAGGGTTTTTCTCCAGTGTGGGCCCTTTTATGCAAGATGAAGGTAGAGCAGTGGGTGAAGGCTTTTCCACACTCACTGCACATATAAGGCTTCTCCCCAGTGTGAATGCGCTGGTGCCTCTTGAGGTACGACCTGTGGTTGAAGGCTTTGCCACACTCGAGGCACTCAAAGGGCTTCTCCCCAGTGTGGATCACATAGTGGTGGATCAAGGCTGCACTCTCACAAAATGCTTTCCCACACTCACTGCACTCATATGGCTTCTCCCCAGTATGAGTCCGTTGGTGCCACATGAGGTAGGACCTGTGTTTGAAGACCTTGCCACACTCAAAGCACTCGTACGGGTTCTCCCCACTGTGGATGATGTAGTGTCGAATGAAGCCTGGCCTGTCTCGAAAAGCTTTTCCACATTCTTTACAAACAAAAGGTTTTTCTCCAGTGTGGCTCCTATTATGTAAGACAAAAGTAGAGCGGTGTGTGAAAGCTCTGCCACACTTATCACATTTATAAGGTTTCTCCCCACTGTGGATCCGCTGGTGCTGGGTAAGGTGGGATTTGCGGTTGAAGGCTTTCTCACACTCCATGCACTTGTAGGGCTTCTCCCCACTATGGACCATGTGGTGTTGAAGAAGGTATGTGCTCTTGCTGAAGGCCTTCCCACACTCCATACACTCATATGGCTTCACTCCAGAGTGACTCCTCTCATGGCGAGCAAGGAGGCGCTTCTTGCTGAATACTTTGCCACAATCATGACATCTAAAGACACTTTCCTCCTCCTGAATTACAAGGTCCTTATCTGACTCATTCGAGCGACAATTACTGACAGCATTTCCTGAAGAAATGTGCTTCTGTATAACCTCTGAACACATGTCTTCAGCTGTCACTAAGCTATCACGTCCAAGGCTGATTTTCCCAGGAAGCAGCTTGCTCTGAGACTCTATCCCTGTTTGAAAGTGTCCCTGCTGCATTTCTGAAGAACCAATCTGACCAGGAGTTTGCACTGACTGGGAGTCCTCTGAGGCTTCTTTTGTTAACTTGCCCTGGCGTGAGACTCCCTTAGATAGGGCTGGCTCACAAGCGCTAAGTTCGGTGGCCTTGGTTTTTCCACTGTTTCCTGAAATAAGCAACACACAGCAGAATAACAGAAACTCAGAAAAAACAAAAGGGTCGTGTTAAAGAAAAACAGCAGACTTGAAACCTTGATGTCTGTTAACCCTGGTTTGCGATTTCCATTTTTTGTGATTCTTCAATTCTTGACTCTTAAGGGGAGGCCAAATTGAAAGTCTAGATAATGGGAAAGAGAGTCTAGGGTAGATACTCTCAATTTCTGACTTAAGAGGCCAGCCTGGTCTACAAAGCAAGTTACACAGAGAAACCCTGTCTCAAAAAAAACAAACAAAAAGCAAATAAAAACAACAAAATAAAAATAACAAAAAAGAGTTCCTGCCGGGTGGTGGTGGCGCACGCCTTTAATCCCAGCACTCAGGAGGCAGAGGCAGGCGGATCTCTGTGAGTTTGAGGCCAGCCTGGTCTACAGAGCGAGATCCAGGAAAGGCTCAAAGCTACACAGAGAAACCCCGTCTCAAAAAAAAAAAAAAAAACCTAAAAAAAAAAAGAGTTCCTGATGAAAGGGGAAAATCAGTAGCCATCTTGAGAGACCCTTCCCCCTCCCCTCCTCTAAAGGTATTTGCTGACCGGAAGTTTTAGAAGTGACCAGAAGTTGAACTTAAAAGGCTGGGACAATAAGTCTATGTATCCTGGACTTGGCAAAACAAGATATGGGGAGTAATGGGCTCAAATGACCTCAGAGGAGAGTAGGACTGGGACAATAAATCTGAATGTATGTACCCTGGGTTCAACAAAAGCAGGACATAGGGAGTAAAAACTTATGTCTCTGTAGATACCCTGAATCCTGTTAGCCATCAGTAACCTCATGCTTGTAGTTCAGCCAGTAACCGAAGAACTGCCTCACCTCTAACCACCACAGCCAATCCCAAGCTGCATGTAAACCTTTCCTATATAAACCCCTTAAAGTGAGTGCTCAGGGGACATTCTCCTCCACCTGCTGTGGCTGTGTTGGATGTTGGATGCGGACCAAGCTTGCTTGTTTTGTTAATGAAAACCCCTGTGTGCTTGCAACGGATAATGGCTCTGGGGTGGTCTTGCTTGGGGGTCCTGTGACCTGGGCACAACACTGACTTAGTATTTCCATAAAGGCAGCTCATTCTTAGCTCCTAAACAGTAGCCCAGGGGCTAGTGAGAAGGTTGCAGGGTAACATCAACTGCCACCAAGCCTGATGACCTCAGTTCAATGCCTGGTACAAGATAAAAGGAGAGAACTGACTCCTGACAGTTGTCCTCTCATCCATCTTCACCCATGTTCTGTGGCACATATATACATGAATGAATGCATACACATACAAGAAATAGAAACAACAATAGTCTGCTGCCTCCTAGCACATCAGGAGACAGAGATAAAAGGATCACAAGTTTGAGATCAGCCTGGCTATTTTACACAGACAGCTTGAGGGCCAGCCTGACATACCTATAAAAACACTACTTCAAATTCTGGAAAAATATACTTTTAGCATATGTGGGAGCCCGTTCTCGGGTTCCTCGTGGCTTTACCCAGCAGGTCCACATAGAGGATGATTAGGACCACGGGCCTGAGTGCAGGTGTCTGAGATGGTCTGCACTTGGCTGTGCTGGGGGAGGAGGTCTTTTGCTCCACCCCTTGGCGTCTCTATAAAAACCCTGGGGCAGAGACAGTCAGGGCCCGTTGGAATAGGTTCCAGGCCCTCTCGAGGCTATCCTTTATTTTCTATCTGTTTATCTCCGCGATATTCTCCGCAATAAATCCTTCTATCTAATATTTCCTGCGGCTCGCACTCAAGAAAACTCTGGGGAACTGTGGGGGTGGTTGGGTAAACGCCCCACAGAATGGCGCCATGAACAGGGACTAAAGAAAAAAGAAAAAAAAGGGACTAAAGGAAAAAAGGGGGGACTAAAAAAAGGGACTAAAGACAAATGAACAGGGACTAAAGACAAAGTAATAGGGACTAAAGATAAAGGAAAATAATAGTTTTATTACAGAGTTTTTGGCGAAAGTGCTGAGTTCAGCCCTGCCAGTGGATAAGGCATGCCGGTGTTATGGAATATATATTTTTTATATATATTGAGAGGCAGGGGTTTTATCCTCGAGAGAAAAGGAAAGCAGACTGGAAGGATGTCCGATGCTGCAGCGAAATTCTCTTCTGTCAAAATTTTCTATCTTCTATCCCTTTCTCAATTTCTATCTGTGAAAAATAAGTATAAGGCATAGGGTAGTAATATAGTATAGGAAAAACTTAGAAGTGTAAGATTGTGTAGGAAAAAATAAGGCAACTAGAGAGAAAAACTCTCCAATTTTCTAACTTTGGGGGCTATAAATGCAAACTGGGGAAAAAAATCTTTCTTTGGGCTTTTCGGGTAGTAAAAGAGCTCTCTGAGCTTATGGGGAAGAAAAAGTTTCCTATGGAAGCTTTTGACCTGGGGACAGCTGAAATGCTAAGTCCAAGTGGCAGGAGAAAGTGATTTCTCCCTGAGGCAAAAATGGGGGTGTAAAAAGCCAAAAAGTTTAAAGTTGGGAAGTTTTGGGAAAAGTTGGTCTTTCTCCTGGGAAAAAAATCTTTCTCTTAAACTAAAAGCTTTTCTTGGAAATTTTGGGGGAAAAAATCTCTCTAAAGCTTTAATCTTCCTCAAAAGCTCTCAAACTTAAAAACTAAAGCCTTTCAGAACTCTCTCAGAAGGACAAAAAATAGAATCACCTGAAGATATTAGTATGGGAACCACCTGTGATTAGCTCAAAGGGAAAACAACAAACCTCTTAAGACAGCAAAATCTCTAAGTTCTCTTTCAAGCTTTAAAAATCCTCCCTGCAATGCCGGAGGCAGGGACAAGTTCCTAAAAACCTCTCTTCTAAGCTGTCTCTTCAAGCTAGTAAAAGACAGTGGGTCAGAGTACCCTGAGGGAAATGCTTGGGAGAGTGTGGGTAAAGAGCTACACAGAGCCCAAAAGGGCGGGAAACTTTACCTGAGTAAAGCTAAAAAGCCAAGCTTTTCCGTTACAGCCCAGCTGAGGCATCAAGGGTTTTGTTTCTGAGTGAGCGTTTCAGAATGAAAAGGTGCTCCTAATCATCCTAATGCAAAGATCCCCTGAAGCAATGCAAACTGTTAGCATTGTATCCTCGCTTCTGACCAAAAACCCAGAGGCGACTGGTCAGCGTCTCTGAGTTGGGATGCATTTCGGGGATACTAGGGTTCCTGCAGTTGCAAACTTCCAGGAGCACTTCCTGGAGCACAGAGCTGAGGCCGGAAGGTGCAGGACCCAGGGAAAGATTGCTAATGAACAAACAAAACTAAAGCCAGTGGGAACAGCACAGTTGTCCACTTTCCTACAAGTCCCGGGTTGATAGGTCCACAGCTGCAAAAAGACATCTGAGAAAAGCTTTCCCATCAGAGTAAGGACCTTTCTGGGAAAACAGTAAAGCTGAACTGTGTCTGAAGCAGTTGTACTGCTGAGTCAGAATGCTGTCTGGGGAAAGAGCCCAGCCAGGGCAGAACAGAACTATCCAGGAGTAAAGCTTTCTTTTCTGTCAGAGAAACCATCTCTGAGAAAAGCTTTGTTTCAACTAACTCCTGGTGAAATGAGGGAGTGTAGCCCTGAGGGGTGATTGCCTCTGGCATAAGCTCTGTCCTTGAGCACCCAGACAAGCAAACGCAACCCACTGGGGGACTGGGCCAGGTGAAGGCCTGATGAAGCAAAGCACCTGTCCTAATGGGAGTTTAGAAATGGCAAAAATCTCCCTTGTTAGATTTTCAGTCTGTACGCAAACCACACAGACCCCTGAAAACAAATGGACAAAAAGCCCCTACCTTCAGTAGCAGGGAAAGCCGCACTGTAGTGTCGGAAACTGTTTCTGGGTTAGAGGGGATAAACTGAGACCAAACTGGGAACTGTCTGGGAGAAAGACTCTGAAGAAACAGAAGGGACATAATCCTCCCCAGAAAATGTATGACCTAAAAAAGCTGCTAGAATTTGAGGCAGATTCGGGGGGAGAAAAAAAAAAAGCCCCTATCTCCAAAGGCACCTAGCAGAGGTACAGAGCCGCAGACAGATACCTGAAGCTCTGCATCTGGGGGGAAAGGAACAAGCAAAATGAGATAGATCAGTGGGAGAAAAATCTCTGAAGGAGCTATGGAAAAGCTGTTGTAAATGATCTTGTTTTTCACTGACTGGCTAAGACAAACACAAGCCCCGAGGAAAGTTGCTATCAGAAATGCCAGCCTCAATGCCGGCTAACGAGGCAGGTGTGGTTCTGATCCGGGGCCAGTGTCAAATGAAGGAGAGACACCTTTTGAAGCCAGCTGAGGAGAGAATAGAAATCTCCCAATGTGCCATAGTTGAAAATGTAAAATGCTTGTTCAAATCTCCTGTTGCAAAAACAAAAAACTTTGTTCAAACCTCCCGGGCAAGAATTTGTAAGCAAGTCTGGTAAAAGAACCAGTTGACTCTCAGACCCAAAAATAACTATGGGAAATGACTGATATAAGGGAAATGATATTATTATGGACTGATATAAGGGAAATGCATTCTGGGAAAGGTAGTTTTTCCGCTAAAGATGGCGACATTGCCCTGAAACACGTTTGTCAGCTCGAAAATACGTTCATGGTAAACTTAAAATACAGCCTTTAAAAGAATAAGGAGGAAAATCATCTAAGAGTTTAAGTGTCAGTTCCATTGGAAAAATTGAAAGGATATGGAACTAGGTGCTTCGCAGTTTGGGGCTCTATTGGTAAAATGCCTTATTTACCCTAATAGCTGTGCAAAGTTTTTATGATTGTTGGATGACAAAAGGCTACCTTTAAGAGCAAACAAGCCACTTTAAAATCCTTAAAACAAGGGAAAGCAGTTTATACACTGAACATTGTCTTAGATATGAAGAAACTTATGTTGAAATTAAAAGTCCTTTGCCTTTTGAACAAACAGCCCACAATTAGTGATTCCTTCGCAAATCTAATTAAGGGGATAAGAAACAGGCATTCAAAAAGAAATGACTACTTTATAGATGGGAAAGAAACCAGAAAATCTAGCTGTCTTACAAAAGAGTTGCTTCACCTGAAAGTTCCTTATAAAAAATCAATGCTAAATATCACAGCTGCTAATAACATCAGGAATTAAAGCTAATGAAGTGAAAATACTAAATACAGTTTGGAGCTGTGCCACTTTTGGCTTTACTAGCTCCTTTAGAAAAATACTTTATATCACCTAATAGCTGTGCAGTATTTGGCAAAGAGCTTTACAGCAGCTAAATACGGTAATTTCACCGTCAGTGTGAAGTGAAGTTTTTCGGTAGAGCAAACCAAAAGTATTGCTGTAATAGAAACGTTTGTCTGAATTGAAGCACTTAGGGGAACTATTATGAATTTGGGTGAAGGGTCAGCCTCTAGTTAAAAACCATCTACCGCTGACAGTGCATCTCTGCCGGTCCGGAACGGCTGAGAGAACTGGCAACTTTGGAGTGTGGCGTCATCCCAGGAAGGTTACAGTCCCCTAGCAACAACTATCACAATTCTATAACAACAACACTCACTAAATCCCAGTGCTTTATAACAAAGATGACTATAAACTCTAAACTTTAGCAATGATGTACGTACTTCCTGTCTAGTTAAGAAAATCTTTCTAATAGATAGTAATAATAATTAAGAATAAGAAATAGAAAAAGATGAAAATAAGATATGTGAGTTTGTAAAAATTCTGTCTTGTTAGATCTGTGTTAAGAAATCTTTAGGTGTTTGCTAAATTAGATATATGCTAATGGTAGCCCTATATAAGTTTGTAAAATAGATCTATAGAGTTCCTTTAAGAATATAAGCTTGCAAGAAATATCTAAGGTAGTCTTAAGACATGTAGTAATAAGCCTGTAAGAAGTGAAGATACTAGTTGTAAATGTAAGTTTAAATAAGAAATAGATAAGGCCAGGCGGTGGTGGCGCACGCCTTTAATCCCAGCACTCGGGAGGCAGAGCTAGGCGGATCTCTGTGAGTTCGAGGCCAGCCTGGGCTACCAAGTGAGTCCCAGGAAAGGCGCAAAGCTGCACAGAGAAACCCTGTCTCGAAAAACCAAAAAAAAAAAAAAAAAAAGAAAAAAAAAGAAATAGATAAGAAGTATATAAGAAGTAATAAGAAATATATTTGCTAAAGTAGTTCTATAGTTCCCTTAAAGAGTATAAATAAGTAGATGTTAATGTTATATGTGAATTTGTAAAAAAGTGTAAATGTTAAATATGAATCTATTCCTAATGTATATGGTGAAAGAACCCGAGACACAGAAGGTTAGTGTCCCAGCAGACTGCAAAGTAGGCAGTCTGAATGGTTTCAAAAGTTCCAAAAGCCGCTAAGAATGGCGGAGGCCAGAACCAGCACAAGGCATCCACAGCTGAGATCCGTGGAAAATCAACGCAACACAGAAAAACCTGAGCTGACATCAAAAACAGTGCGGTTTAGAATACTACTGTACCTAAAAAGGTCTCTGGCTTGAGAATAAAAGTTCAGAGACGCTTGTTTCAACAAAAATTGTTAACTGCAAAAAGTTTTGGTTGAAAAATGTCTCTTCATATTTGGAAGTGAAAGCCTGATACCAGAATTTATTTCTTGTTTGAACTTTTTGAACTTAAAATGAGACAAAACTACAGAAAGATTTTGGTTCTGGATTTCTTCATATTTGGAAGGCTCATACCAGAATTTATCATTTGAATTTTGGGACTTAAGAAATGAAATGAACAGTAGAGATTTCATTGCAATGGGACAATTTTGAGTTGATTCATAGTAATGACCTAGGAACTGTTTTCTGGAATTGGGTTAAAAATGGAACTGTTTAAATGAAGAAATTTATTTCTACCTAGAATCAAGATGCAGTTTTGTGTATGCATATATGCTTTATTAATTGGTGATTCATGAATTGTTTTGTGGAACTGTTTACAGAACTGGTATTGTGTTATAAATGGAACTGTTTAAATGGAAAAGTTGGGTTTTCTAACTAGGCTTGAGATTTTGCTTAAATTATAAAGAAAAGGGGGAGTTAATATTCCTTAGTCTAATTTCAAAAGTTGTTTGAGTGGATTAATGTCATGTTTTTGTTAGTAAGAAATGCAAATGGGGTATATTAAGAGACTACTTTTAAAGTGTGTAAAGAGTTTTATTAAGAAACTGCTTTTGGATGTTTTGCTAAGTTTTCAAAGTGTTAATGGTTACATTGAGAAGATTGCTTTTCAATATGGGTTTGTAGGAATTGTATGAGTTTGGGTTCCTCTAACTAGGTTTGGGATTTTGTTTAAAAAATTATAAAGAAAAGGAGGAGTTATGAGATTGAATTGTTTGCAGAAATTATATTTACCCTATTGATATTAATGCACCCTGATTTTGTGGAGTTAAGGAAATATTTAAGTTTGTGAATACATCGAAGTTTTTCCTATGTTCTGTTAGCAAGAAAATTCAAATGATTGAGTTAATGTTGTAAGACGGAGAAAATTAACTATATATAGCACCATATATGCTAATTCAAATGGTTCTGTTAAGAGTTTGCTTTGTGAGATTGGGAGAATTGTGACTATGTATAGCAATATTTATGTTAACCTGTTAATGGTAATGATGAAGCTAAGGGATTCTTTAAGTTTGTAATCGCCTTAAGAGTTTTTGGTTTAGAAAGGGCTTGAGGCAGCTAAGACCGCTGTGGTCACCTTGGACCTAATTCAAAAGAGAAATGCCATCTTTATCATCCTCTACTCCCATATTGGGAGGTGTAACAGCTATGGAGATTGCTGTAAGCCATTAATAGTTATTTTTTTATATATTAAGAAAGGGGGACCTGTGGGAGCCCGTTCTCGGGTTCCTCGTGGCTTTACCCAGCAGGTCCACATAGAGGATGATTAGGACCACGGGCCTGAGTGCAGGTGTCTGAGATGGTCTGCACTTGGCTGTGCTGGGGGAGGAGGTCTTTTGTTCCACCCCTTGGCGTCTCTATAAAAACCCTGGGGCAGAGACAGTCAGGGCCCGTTGGAATAGGTTCCAGGCCCTCTCGAGGCTATCCTTTATTTTCTATCTGTTTATCTCCGCGATATTCTCCGCAATAAATCCTTCTAATATTTCCTGCTGCTCGCACTCAAGAAAACTCTGGGGAACTGTGGGGGTGGTTGGGTAAACGCCCCACAAGCATATATAACTAATAAAGTATTATGAATGTGGACTGGGGGGTGTGACTCAGTAGTAGGCACTTACTAGCATGTCTGAGGCTTTTGAATGAAAAAAAAGAAGAAAAAATGTGCAAAGAACTGAGTTAATAGTGTTTAAAAAAAAGCACTTACCTGAATTATTTCACAGAAGACACAGAATTGTCAAATCTTTTAGTAAGCCACTAACCCCTCCTTCCCAATGAGAAAAAATGAAATACTGTGGTGTCCCCATCTGATTAGCAAAACCTGAGAAGCACCCATCCTTGTAGCATCGAGTGCTGGATAGGCTAGGGATCAAAGTAGGACATGCATGCAGACACTGGTAAAGAACTGCTTGCTAAGTGTCACTCTACAACTCAGAATGGGTGAAAGACGAGAAACGGGGTAGACAAAGCACAGCTCCAGGGTTCTGAAAGAAACATGAGACTGAAAGGAAAACCTCAAAAGCAGGGCCAAAAACAGGCCCAATGATTCAAGAACCTATCCTCCATGGAATTCCAGAAAACAGCCAGTCCTCATCACATACCCACAGGAAATCTGGCTTTCATTTCATCCTGTGGTTTATAAAAAAACAACAACAACAACAGTTTCTGCCCTTCCTCCCTCCTTACTCTCCACTACAAAAACTAATTCTCAGACCCTGCACAAACCCTTCTCCTGTACCCTCAGATACTGAGGCACAGGGCTTGGGGACACCAACCTCTCAGACCAGTAAGGGCTGCTCTTGCTATTCTGAGGTCGAACTGAGTCTATTCTTTCACATTCCCCCTTGAGTAAACTTCTTACTATACAACACGAATGGTAAAGCTTACATTTTGGTTCGTGTTTGGAGACAGGGTCCCACCGTGCAGCCGTGGACGGTCTGGAACTAGCTATGGACACCAGGCTGGCCTTGAACTTACAGAGATCCACCTGCTTCTGCATCATAGGTAAAGCTTAGTTTTTGATGTATCGCTTTCTTGTCAACCCCCAGTGTGAAGGAAAACAAGAGGGCTCAGGAGACGACTCAAGTGGGTAAGGAGCCTGCAGCCAAGGCTAATAAACCGAATGTAATAAGCAGACTCCACATAGTGGAAAGAGAGGACCAACTTCCAGCTCCTACAAGTTGTCCTCTGACTCTCATATGTACACTGTGGCATATATGTGCACATACACACAAACTAAAAAAGGAAAGAAAGAGAAAAAAGAAAGGAGACGGAGGGAGTGGAAGAGGAGGTAGAGAAGGAGGAGGAGGAGGAGGAAAGAGAGAGAAGTCTCCAGGAGACTCCACTAGTCCTGACCACGTCCCTTACCTGCACTGATGCTTGGGAAAAGGTCTTTCATCACCGGCCACAGCTCCTGCCCGTGCTCCAGTCGACACAGCAGCTCAGGTCTGGGAACAGGATACCCTTCGAGGAGAGAAAGGTGGACTCATGAATTTTTTTTTTTTTCTGAAAAGAGATGAAGACCCTCAATGTCATCTGGGACTGTAGGTTCAGAATTTGGCCTTGGAATGAAGCTGCTCTCAGCAATATCAATAAAGTTAGCATGTGATTTGGAAACTTAAGAGTATGCTAAAATCTGTAAAAGGTGTGCCTGGTAGGACAAGACTATAATCCAGCTACTAGAGAGGCTGAGGCTAGAGGACAGCAAGGCCAAGCCTGCCTGGGAAACTTGATGAGACCTTGTTTTAAAATACAAAGGAGGGCTAGGGACACAGTCCAGTGGTAGAGTGTTTGCGGAGACTGTGCAGAGACAAGCACACCCCTTGAACTGAGGGGGGAAAACCAAGTATTTGTATGCAGGTTAGTTTTCGTCAACTTGACACAAGCCTAGACATACTTGGGAAGCCAAACCTCCAAGGAGAAAAACGCCTCTAGCGAGATGACTTGTAGGCAAACCAGTGGGGCATTTTTACTCCAGTGAGGATGAGGGGGGGCCCAACCCCTGTGAGTGGTGTCACCCTTGAGCACGAGGCCCTGGGTTCAGTAAGAAAGTAGGCTGGGCACCCACGGGGAGCAAGCCAGTAAGCGGCACCCTCAGTGGCCTCTGCATTAGCTCCTGCCTCCCGGTTCCTGCTCGAGTTCCCACCTTGGCTTCCGCTGATGACAGACAATAACCTGTAAGCCAAATGAACCCTGTCCTGCCCAAGCTGATTTTGGTCATGGTGTTTTATCACAGTAATAGAAACCATAACTAAGGCATGTCCGTAACCAATATTTAGAGGGCATCTAAGGGATGTATATTAGGTTAATTCATGACTGAAGAATATTTAAGGGAAAATTTAGGAGTAAAACTGGCATATTCAAAACATCAAGTATTTCCATTTAAAACAGGAATGATTATTAATTCATTTTCCTGTGTACAAAGAAATTCTTAAAGCTGGGCAATATAATAAAAAATCAGAGTCTGGCTGTTGGCTCATACTTTTAATTCTAGTATTTAGGAGGCAGAGACACGTAGATATCTGTCAGTTCAAGGCCAGCTGGCTGAATACTGAGTTCCAAGCTGGCCACAGCAACACAGTGAGACCCTGTCTAAAAAAACCAAACATACTAAAGGAACAAGCTTGGAATCGGTGATGGTTAGCCCCTAAAACATCAGTGTGTTGGCTAGTTTTATATCAATTTGACAAAAGCTAGAGCAGTGGTTCTCACCCTTCCTGATGCTGCGACCCTTCAATACAGTTCCTCACATTGTGGTGTCCCCCATCCACAAAATTATTTCTGTTGCTATTTCATAACTGTAATTATGCTACTGTTATGAATTATAATACAAGTATCTTATGTTTTCTGATCTTCTTAGTTCACCCCTGTGCAAGGGCTGTTCAACCCCAAAGGGGTTGTGAACTGCTGAGCGACAGTCAATGGAGAGAAGGGAGCCTCAACTGAGACAATGCCTCCATAAGATCACGCTGTAGGCAAGCCTGTAGGGCATTTTCTTAATTAGTGATTGAGAAGGAGTGTAGATGTAACCAACCTTCTTATTAAATAAGAAACACAGAACCAATGCAAAGAAGAAAGCCAAGAGGTCAGAGCTAAGAGCTAAAACCTTACCCTTCCTCCTGCGGTGGTCCTACCTCTCCTAACCAGAGCTACCCCTGTGTTAAAGTCTTTATATAGAGTTCCTGTCCTGCCTTCTCATTGGTTGTAAACCCAACCACATGACCGCCTCCTCACGACCTGTCTGTATAGGCCTCCAGGTTTTCCATGATTGGTATTGAGATTAAAGGCATGTGTATCCAATACTGGCTGTATCCCTGAACACACAGAGACTTACCCAGCTCTGCCTACCAAGTGCTGGATTACAAGAGTACGCCACCACTGCCCTGCTTTCCTATGGCTTGCTAATAGCTCTGACCCCCGGGCAACTTTATTTATTAACATACAAATAACATTTTAATACAAATAAAATATCACCATAGAGGAGGGCACAATCCATTGTGGGCAGGGCTATCCCTGGGCTGGAGGTCCTGGGTTCTAGAAGAAAGCAGGCTGAGTAAGTCATAGGAAGCAAGCTAGTATGTAGCACCCCTCCATGACATCTGCATCAGCTCCTGCCTCCAGGTTCCTGCCCTATTTGAGTTCCTGTCCTGACTGCCTTCGATGGACTATGATGTGGAAGCATAAGCCAAACAAAGCCTTTCTTCCCCAGCTTGCTTTTGGTCGTAGTGTTTCATCAAAGCACTTAGTTAAGACAACTGGCATCTGGGAGGCTGAGGCAAATAAAAGAATCGCCACAAGTTAGAGGCCAAGCTGGGTTACACACTAAGTTCTATGCCAGCCTGCCTATAAAGTGAGACCTTGTCTTAAAAAACAACATACTGGGTGTAAGTGGCACATTCCTTTATTTCCAGAACTCAGGAAGCAGAGACAAGTGGATCTTTGAGATCAAGGCCTGCCTGGTCTACACAGTGACCCTGTCTCAAAACAAACAAAAATGTATCCCCCAAATAAAACTAAACAGGGCAGGTAAAGGTGCTTGCCACCAAGCCTAAACCTGACCCTCAGGATCAATGCAGCAAGGAGAAGTGAGTCCTCACGTTGTCCTCTGAGCTCTATGTATCATACCACAAGTGTGCATACACACACACAGTATAATCCTAGCACTTTGGAGACGAGGACAGGATAATAAGGAACGCAAGGTCATCCTCAGCTATATAATGAGTTTAAGGCCAGCCTGGGCTGCATGAGACCAGACAATTTTATAAAAGACAAAAATCAAGTCTATTTAGCTCAGTTTAGAGGGAAGTCTTTCCTGCATCCCCTCTTCCTTTCCTTTCCTCTGTTCCCCCTTTTTTCCTCCCTTTACTAGGGTCTCTCCATGTATCCTAGGGTGGCCTCAAACTCCTGATCCTGTTGACTTGGGTTCCCAAGTGCTACGATTATAGGTAGGTGTGAGCCACCACACTCAACTGATGTTCTATAATCCACTGTAACTAAGGCCATGCCAGAACCACATTGATAAGTACATTAACCCCTGGAAAGGACAGTGGCTCCAGTAACTTTTGCTTCTCTCCTTCCCCATTTATGTGGGTCATGGAGTTAGCACTCAGGTTTTTTTTAAGCTTTATTATTTTTTAAAGATTTATTTATTATTTTATGTATATGGGTATTTTGCCTGCATGTATGCCTGTGCCCCTTTTGTGTGCGTATTGCTCTCAGAGGCTATAAGAGGTCGTCAGATCCCCTGGAACTAGAGCCACAAATGGCTGTTGGCCTCCATGCTGGTGTTAGGATTTGAACCTGAGTCCTCTGGAAGAACAGCCAAAGCTTTTAACCACGAAGCTATCTCTCCAGCCTCCAGCTTAGGCAAATGCTAAGCTATCCTGCCAACCCTAAACCTCACTTCTCAAAGATATAACCACTTCAATATTACCATGATGAGAAATATGTCTCCAACACATCACCACTATCTAAACCTGTTGTGGAATATTCCTTTACACTGTGTGAAGATGTCACTGTGATTGGTTTAATAAAAAGCTAAAGGGCCAATAACTAGGCAGGTGGTATAGGAAGGACTTCCAAGTAGAGAGAAAGGAAGAGGAGATGAATCTAGGCATGGGAGAGATGCCAGAGGACACACCAGAGGACCCTGAGAGAAAACAGGAGATGCAAGATGAAAGAGGGGCAAAAAGCCATGAGGCAAAACATAGACCAAAATGAATGGGTTAATTTAAGTTATAGGAGCTGGTGGGAAAACCTAAACTATAGGCCGAGCTTTCATAATTAATAATAAGTCTCTGGGTCATGATTTGGGGGCTGGCAGTCCAAAACAGCCTGCTACACAAACCACAGCAACATGTATTTTCATTAACCCATCTTTGTTTAGCTCCCAAGCAGTTTTACATTGTTCTTGCAGGTCACAGACTAAATGTGGATTCTATTCAGAATTTCTCACAGCATCCCCAGGTAACCTCCCTCCGAGCATGTATTAAAGGAAGACCATGCAAGTACAAAGTGCAAAAGAAGAAGGCCCTTAGCACACAGAACCAAGCTACCTACAATCCAAGCTTGGATTTCTCAGCATTTAGACCTACAAAAAATAACCATCTGTTAAAGAACTAAAAAAAGAAAAAAACGAAAACTTCACAGGAGGAACCAGGCTCACAGATGGCAATTGCTGCCTCAAAATATGTTGGCCACTGGGCCAGAGAGATAGCTCAGCAAGTAAAGAAGCTTCCAAGTCCAAAGTCCTCCAAGGCTGAGGACCTCAGTTCAACCCTCAGGACCATATGGTAGACAGAAAAAATGGACTCACGCAGGTTATCCTCTGACCTCCATACACATGCCATAGCATAAATGCCACCCTCCAGCCACAAAATATAAAAGTATTAAAATTTTCCAAGAAAAAAAACCCACATAAAATTGGCATTCTGGCCTCCTCCTTGGGGACCCGCTCTGGCCATCCTGATGTAAAGCCCACTTTAAGAGAAAACGCCTCCTCCTCCCTCTCTCTATTCCCACGAGATGCGCACCCTCGCTCCACCCGCCTCTCTCCCTATCTTTCTCTTTCCCTCTTTCTCCCCTGCACCAAATAAAACTCTTCTCTGAGCACTGTCTACATGGCGTCTCTGTCTCTCACCGCCGCCATGGGGCACCTTGTCCCAAAGGCCCCTGTGCGCCGTATGATAACACAGAAGCCACTGTAGAAAAACAAAAACATGCAGAAAACCAGAGACCACTGAGAGTAAGGACTAAATGAGTCTTTCCTGATGCAAATTTGATAAAGCAGAGAAAAAGAAAAATACCAAGGGTCTCGTTCTCAGGTGAAACTGGCCTTACACTCACAATCCTTCTCTCTCAGCCTCTCAAGTACCAGTATAAGAGAGTCACTACCTTTGGGAAAAAAATACGGGGGACAGGATAGGGAGAGGGCTTAGTAGGTAAAAGCACAGAGGGCTGGAGAGATGGCTCAGTGGTTAAGAGCATGTACCGCCCTTCCAGAGGACTTGAGTTTGATTTCTAACACCCATGTCTCATGGCTCACAACTTCTTGCAATTCCAAGTCCAGGGTCATTCAATACATCCAGCCACCTCCAGCACCTGCACGCATGTACTGACTCACTCACATACGTAGGAGACATGAGGTCCTTGTGCTCACAGGTAAGTACTAGGGAAATCAGGACTGTTAAACATGCAGGGTTGTCTCTTCAAAGAAAGAGATGCATGACCTGTTTTCCACCCAGAAGCCTGGGAGTGAAGGTGATAAAGCATGGTGACCTTGGTACTATCTCTATGGCCAGGCCAACCTGGCTCCCCCAGACTCACATGTTTATCTCAGTCAATCCAGAGTGCTATCTTCTCCCAGACCTTATCATGAACTGTTTACCTTGAGCCGGCTTTCCTAGTTAATCCACTGATATTTATGGAAGAGGTCACATGTACTTTACAAAGAGTTTTGAGGCAGTCGTGCCCAAGATCTATTGTGCATACAGAATCAAGTACCACCAGGGAACATTTTTCTAAATTGTACAGTACTTAAATATGCCTAAAATAAACTGCCTGGTGTCAAACTCTCAACGTTTGAACCAACACCAGTCACTGAGTCATGTTGAACCAGACTTCCTTCTTGACTCATTAGGATCAACTCTCTGCTGGCCATGGTGTTTGCAGATACTCATGTACACATACAAATGACTAAAAATAATGAAAATAAATCTCGTGAGGGGGAAAAAAGCACTACCTCAAGAACCTGGAAATTCTACCTCTGGGTTCTATGAAATACCCCTTTCCTTCCACTGCCATCCTCTCTGCATTACCCTTGGAGCCTAAAGGTACTATGTTTCTGGCCCAAAGAAAGACAACATGGGAAAGGACGACTCTAGAAAAATGTCTGAAGCAGTGGGAAGAAGAGAAGGCAGGCTCAGAGGACCTCTAAACCAGCAAGGCCTGGCACCAGAGGGTAGAATGAAAACAGCAGATAACCCATGCCCCGGAAACGGGAGCTAACCAGACTTACCCAGAGAGACCAGAAGCCCACGGTTTTCCAGCATCACCTCCTGGTACAGGGTCCTCTGAGCTGGAGCCAGCTGCCCCCACTCCTCTTGGGTAAAAATTACAGCCACATCCTCAAAGGTGAAAGCCACCTGAAAAGTCACTAAATGTATTAGCGTTGGCCTTGGGGGGCTCGGTAAGATGTCATATGTGCATTGCTCAAAAGGTATATAAAGGGATGAAGGCCCAAACTACACAGCACATCCTGAAGGTCACGCTGTTTCCTGGCTCCAGGGGGAGAGAGATGCTGTTGGGGCATGTGATGGTGAGATTTCATTGACAACTTGACACAATCCAGAATCATCTGGGAAGAGAGGCTCAAGGAGGGACTGTCTAGATCAGGCTGGCCTGTGGGCATGTCTGTGGGAGATCATTTTGATTATTTAAGGTGGGAAGACCCAAATAACACGATTCCCTGGTTTTGTGCCCTAGACTGCATATAAAAGGAGAAAGTGGAGTCACTGAGTTGCTTATCAGGAAAAGGCCAAGCTTTACAACTTATCTATCCCCTGGGACCTTAAATAGCAAAAGGCAGGAACCCAGCTCCCAAAAGTTGTCTCCTCATTTCTAAATGCAAAACCTATACATACACACACACATACATAAATGAATAAACATAACTTTCAAATAAATAAAAAAAAGTGCTGGCTGTGACCGCTCACACCTTTAATCCTAGCACTTCAAGAAGCAGAGACAAGACGGGTCTCTGTGAGTTCCAGGCCAGCCAGGGGCTACTTGGTGAGACCCTGCCTCGCAAACAAACAAACGGAGAAAGGCGGAGAAGCACACGCATGCGTGCATCTATGGCTCTCTTTTTCTGACCACGAACACACTGTAACCAGTTCTCTCAAACTCCTGCTGCGGTTGACTTCCCTGTCTTGACAGACCCGGGATTGTGAGCCAAATAAACCCTTGCTTCCCTCAACAGCCTTTGTCGGGGTATCTTATCCCAGGAACAGGAAACAAAGCTAAGACAAAGACGGGGCATAATTATGCCAGTGTGAAGGGCAGCAACCTCCCACGCAGGAGCTCTTAGAAGTAACAAACGAGGAACACCAACTGTGGGTTGTGAGAGAGGCTCTGTCTGGAGTATCGCAGGAATGACAAAACAATGATAATAAAAATGGAATAACCGATACCAATAACGTTAAGGATAGCAATTCTTCAGTTTCACTGGTCCCGCTAGTTTCCTGCCCATGCTGAATGCTTCACAAGTCCTCAGTTCTGAAGTCAGACTCCTAGAGTTTCAATCCAAGCTCCTGAAACTACCACTCGACAGCTGTGCAACATTAGGTACCTCACTTCATCTCTGAGCCTCCATTTCCAGATCAATACAGTAATTCTCACTTCATCGACAACAGCTATGAGGGAAAAACAAAACAAAACAAAACAGAAAAAGGTAAACATGGGTTACAAAAAACAGCCATGAGACTTGAGATGAGATTTTTGAAAAATAAAGCATACCACACTTGAGCCAGGCAGTGGTGGTGCATGCCTTTTATCCCAGCACTCAGGAGGCAGAGGCAGGTGGGTCTCTGAGTTCGAGGCCAGCCTGGCCTACAAAGAGAGTTCCAGGGCACTCAGGGTTATTAGGCAGAGAAACTCTGTCTCACACAACACTTAACTGTTTGTTTCCCTTAACTTCTACAGCATGTGGTCACTTATAGATCAGTCAGTGACTAAAAGATGTCCAAAAATTCAAGTATATCTTTGTGTTTGTTAAGACAAGGTCACACGTAGTCCAAGCTAGTCTCAAACTTGCCATGTAGCCAGGGCTGACCTTGAATTCCCAATCCTCCTGCTTCTGCCTCTCCAGTGCTGGGACTACAGGAATAACTAAATGAGTGTGCTATCTGGGCAAATGAGATGGTCTGGAGGGGAAAAGTACTTTTCCCCCAAACCAGGGAGGGCACCTGAGTTCGAGCTCCAGAAGCCATATAAAAGTAAGAGAGATCCAATTCCGGAAAACTGTCCTTTGACCTCAAACTCATTGCTCACACGAGTGGACACAAGCTTGCACACAATCAAACACACAAATTTTGTAATTTTAAAAAGTGACCTCTGGCCGGGCATGGTGGCGCACACCTTTAATCCCAGCACTCGAGAGGCAGAGGCAGGTGGATCTCTGTGAGTTTGAGGCCAGTATGGTCTACAGAGCGAGTTCCAGGAAAGGCACAAAGCTACACAGAGAGAAACCCTGTCTTGAAGGAAAAAAAAAAAGTGATCTCTGAGCAGAAATGTTAGAGAATGGTCTTGCAGGGATCTGAGGATGATCTGAGTCAGAGGGAACTGCAAGGGTTAAAGACTGGAGGAGTAGAGAGAGGTTTTGGTCAGGTGGGTACAGCTGAACAGCAGTGAGCCAGAGAGAAAAAGGAAACAAGATAGTAAGTGGTCAGCCTGGGAGAATAAGAGACTTACAGACCATGTATGCTTGGATTATGAGTTGATGAAAGTATTTAGCCTGGAGCTTCATTCACCTTTCAAACCTTTAAATACCTATTGGAGGCCTGACATTCATTCACCTTTCACTCCCCTAAATATCTTTTGGAGGCCTGACATTCATTCACCTTTCACTCCCCTAAATATCTTTTGGAGGCCTGACATTCATTCACTTTTCAGTCCCTTAAATACCTTTTGGAGGCCTGACATTCATTCACCTTTCAGTCCCTTAAATACCTTTTGGAGGCCTGACATTCATTCATTTTTCACTCCCCTAAATACCTATTGGAGGTCTGACATTCATTCACCTTTCAGTCCCCTAAGTACCTATTGGAGGCCTGACATTTATTCACTTTTCACTCCCCTAAATATCTATTGGAGGCCTGACATTCTTGGCATGAGGAAGCTGTAAGGGGGCTAACTAGCAAAGGGTCATCCTGGAAACGGAGGGCTATGTGTGTCCTTTATTAGCAGCAGAAACAACTACAAGCAGGAACTAGTTATTAAAACAAATCCTAGTCATCTGTTGCCTATTGTTACAGAAGTTATGTGTAGGACTCTATAGATTATCAAGAGAAATAGTCATCTGGCTAACTGTAGATATGACTTACAGGCTGACTTCCAAGGTGTTTTGTTACAGAAAAGGTGGCAGGTTGCTCAGATTATGGCTCAAAGTCCTACTTCTTTAGGTATGGCCTTCCCTGTCCATGTGTATAAATGACCCTCTCGGGTGCTAAGTGAATAAAAAAAGAAAGAAAAGGAAAGGAGATGACAGTTCCTAGGTGTGGTAGAGGGGAAAGTTTATTATGGATATGTGGAGGAGCGTAGCTAGAGACATGGACATCAGAGAGTCCAGAGTGGACATGACCCTGAGCCATGTGAGGAGAGGGGGAGGGGGACCAGGTGCAGCAGTCAGCCCAAAACAGGAGGGGTAACCAAAATGGTTGGATTATATAGGGACGGTGAGCTGGGGGAAGGGCTGCCCAGCCCCTGGGCTGGAGATGTTTAGGGTAGAGGGCGGGTACTCCAACCAAGAGGACCCTGTCACAGGTAGGGACTGAGGGATGCTAGAAGAACCTGGCAGCCAGGTCCGCTTTGGTATGTTAAACAAGCACCTCAGCCATTTGTCTCGGCTTTGAGACCTAACACCAAGGCTGGAGATGAATTGGGTGACCATCCAGAGCCACATTTCCTAGACAAGCACAACTACAAAGACAAACCGAGAGGCTCTCTTGACTGACAGGCTTTCGGAACCGAGGAGACATCAAACATCTCCGTCAACCCACCTGCCCGGCGTCCACCAGCGCCGACGCCATCCTGAGACCCCCGTGGGCTGTGGACCCGGTGGATCCCGTGGGCTTCGTGCCCCGGGGCAGGAGACCTTGGCTGACGGCGGCTCGGTTCACCGCCTGATGTCCAGGATTACCTGTCAGAGGAGACGCCCCTCAGGTCCTTTAGGAAGACTGCTAGGATTTCCACAGCGGGCCTGGACCACACAGTCGTGCAAGAATGACATCACGGCACGGCGACAGTAAGTCCCACCACCCGCTCCTCCACAGGAGGGAAGCACACTATATTAGGCTTTTCATTTGCCGAGCAAGCCGCCTGACTCGTGTGCTATGCCTTCTGGGTAATGTAGTTCTTCCTCTGCTGCCTACCCCTCTCTCCTCCCTGCTCCCAACCCCATTGGAGTGCCTTGGTGTTTTCCTAGACTATAGACGCAGCGTTGTGTCTTGGACACAACAATAAACACAACAATAAATATTGTTATTATTTGACATTGTTTCACTTTTAATTTTTGGGACGGTCTCAATAAATTGGCCAGGTTGGCCTTGAAATTCCTCGGCGGCCCAGGCAGGCTTTGAAATCGTCCTGCCTCAGTCTCCTGAATACTTAAGATTGTAGGCATGGGTCACCAGGCCTGGCTTCAGACCCACCCAGTAACAATGCACAGCTTGGGAGGATTCGGGCACTGGGGGAGACTGCCATTCTTTCAACGTAAAATGTAGACTAGAGGGGATTGAGGGTGGGTCTGGAACCTTTGCCAAAAATCTGGGCAAATGTAAAGATGAGAAACTGGGCACTCCAGAGGACCCCAGACGTCTCTCCTTATCCACCCCCTTTTTCATTTATTACTTATTTTGTATATGTGTGGACGTGGGTGTGCCTCTGTACCTGAGTGGAAGTACAAGGACTTCGATCCCCACCACCCTGGTACAAGCTGGGCACAATGATGAGCATCTGTAATCTTAGCCCTGGGGAGCTGGAGATAGGAGGCTCAGTGTTCCCTGACCAGCCAGTCTAGTCAAATCAGTTGAGTTTCATGTTCAGTTCAGAGACCTACCATCTCAAAACATGAGATGAATGCCGGGCATGGTGGTGCACACGCCTTTAATCCCCAAACCTGGGAGGCAGAGTCAGGTGGATCTCTGTTAAGTTCGAGGCCAGCCTGGTTGACAACTGGAGTTCCAGGACAGCCAAGGCTGTTAACACAGAAAACCTGCCTCGAAAAAAAAAACAACCAAACCAAAAATGAGATGGAGAGCAATAGAGTATCTACCTGATGTGGACCCTTCGCCTTCACCCCCTCCACCCCAACCCCCACCACACAGTTAAGACAAAAGGTTCTACCAAATTGACATACCAACTCACACAAACAAAAAGATGTTAAATCAGGTTTAATTAGTATCTTCAAAGAGAAAACAAGCAAAACAGATGAGGTAACAGAGCCTGGAAAGCTCCCTGAATAAACACAAAGGAATAGGGGCAGGGCTCAGGAAGCAGGCTGACTACCAGGAGGCAGGATCCTACGAGAGTGGGCCAGGACCCAGGGGTGCTTCAGGATCTGGGATAGGTCCAGCCGATCCGAGGGATGGTACCTAAGAAGCTTGGAGATCAAGTCTTGGGCCCCCACAGGCACTGAATGAGGAAACCTCAAATCCACCTAATGAGGCCGGGGAAGAAGAATGAGAATCTAGTTAATCTCTTTGCTTAGTTCTCTCCTTGTTCTGTCAGTATCTTCAGGGTACCTGTGGTGATATTTTCTTTGTGCTTTAACAAATAAAGCTTGCCTGGAGATCAGAGGAAAAAGCCAGCCATTGTATTAAACATAGAGGCCAGGCAGTGGTAGCACAAGCCTTGAATCCTACCATTCGAGAAGCAGAGATTTATCTAGCTCTCTGTGAGTGCAAGGCCATCCTGGCCTAATAAGACACTGTCTCAAAAAAAAAAAAAAAAAAAAAGCTAACCATCATACAAATTGCTACACAGTCTTATTAATTAAAAAAAAAAAAACTTGGAGCCAGGTATTGGGTTGAAATCTGAAAGATCAGAGAGCAAGCCAGCCATATCTTACCTCTAGGAACTCCTCAGCCCAAGAGCTCTATCACTTCCTGTCTGTACAGACCTCCAGACCTCTACGATTAACTAGTGATAGGATTAAAGGCATGTGTGCCACACTGCCTGGCCTCTATGTCTAATCTAGTGGCTGTCTCTGTCCTCTGATCCCCAGATAAGTTTTATTTGTTAGAGCACAAATAAAAATTACCACCACAGGTACCCTTCTGGCTATAGTATATATAGTCTTTTGTAAACACTCCAACCCTCAAAGGCCCAGGAGCTGTCACTGTCTGCCTCCCCGATGAATGCCCCACATGTGGCCATCTCACCTTGAGGATGCGTTTGTATGTCTCGCTGTGAGTGCTACTCTCGAAGGGTGGATTTCCCACCAGCAGCTCATAGCAGAGCACCCCAATACACCACAGATCCACCTTCTCATTATATGTTCTCCCTTCAATCATTTCTGGGGGCAAGTAGTCCAGAGTCCCGCACATTGTCTTTCTCCTAGAGCAGGACACAGAAGGGGAGTGCTGTGTGTGCATAGGCTCAGAATGAGGGAAATCCCTGCCCCGCCCCGTTCAGTTTCCAAGGAAATGGGAGACCAAGAGCTCCTTCCTGGGCAGGGTTTCAGAAATACAATTGTTAATATGGATCAAGATTCAGAGCGGCTGTGGGAGGTGGCTCCGTGGGTAAAGCATGTGCACTGAAAGCCCCGAGGACCAGAGTTCTATCCCCAGAACCCACATAAAGCTGGGTGCATGTCTATAGTCCCTGTGCTCTTAGAGTGAGATGGGAGGCAGAGGAGAATCCCTGGAAGCCTGCAGGCCAGTAGGCCAGCTATCCTGACTATGAGCAGCCAACAAGAGACCTTGTCTCAAATAGGATGGAAGGTGAAGAGTCACACCTAAGGTTGTCTTCTGACATTCCCCCATACACATACACACACACAGAACACGGCACACATGGGCCTGCACTCACACATGTGAACACACGCATAGAATTTTTTTTTCTCTTTAAGATTCAGGGAAGGCAGATGGGGATAGTGGTGCACATCTCTAATCCTAGTGAAAGACCTCCACCAAAGGCCCAGACACAGTTCTCCCAGAAACCCAAAAGAGCTGAGGGAAGAGATAGCTTAAAAGTAAACAGAACTGAGTCTGTTCCCCCTTCCTGGAGAGGGTGAAGTCAGGTGTTTTCAAAAGAACAAAGTCAGGATGTCTGGTGGTGACCATGAGATGCCCCTCTCTGGAGATAACATGACCAGACCCTGGAGATGGGTTATAAAACTCCTAACAGGGAAAACAGATGTGCTGAAATAAGACAAAGTCCAGGCCCGGGAAAAACTGGACCAATCAAGGATGAACCCATACTAACCCCCTCCCCTCTAAGAAATTTTGTGGGTTTTGCCTATAAAAACTAACTTCCCCAAGAAAGAGCAACTCCTCCCTGCCTCCCTGCGCTGTGCGGTGACTTGTAACGGAAGTAAACCTTGCTTTTGCATTCTGGTATGCTCGTCCTCGGTGGTCTCTCTGGGGGTCACGATCTGGGCACAACACTAGCTCCTGGGAAGGTTTAGGGAGGAAAGAGTACTATGTGTGTGAGGCTAGAATGAGCTACAGGCCAGACAACATGAGAAACTGTTAATCAGAAGGTGGGGCTGTTCTTCTAAAGGACCCTAGATGGATTTCCCAGCACCCCCATGGCAGCTCACAACCATCTACAACTCCAGTTCCAGGGGATCTGATGCCTTCTTCTGGTCTCCACAGGCACCGGGTATGATAAGCGGTGTACAAAACACACATGCAGGCAAAACACCCTAGTGTGGGATAATGCTCTTGTATACTGTAAAGATTTGTCACTCCCACTGGTTTAATAAAACACTGATTGGCCAGCAGCCAGGCAGGAAGTATAGGTGGGGTGACCAGACGAGGAGAAGGCTGAGAAGAGGAAAGGCAGAGATGGAGTCAACACCCAGAGGCAGAGGAATTAAGATGAGAATGCTGGACTGAAAAAAGGTACCAAGCCAGGTGGCTAAACATAGATAAGAATTATGGGTTAATTTAAGCATAAGAGCTAGAGTTAGTTATAAGCCTGAGCAATAGACCAAACAGTCTTATAATTAATATAAGCGTCTGCATGTTTATTTGGGTCTGAATGGCTATGGGACCAGATGGGACAGAAAATTTCATTAACAACACACATGCACATAAGATTAAAAATGAAAAAAACCAAAACCCCAAACAAACCCCGAGAAGGCAAATACTGTAAGGGAAAATACACTAACTAACCCCATGCTTTCAAATGATTCAGTCAGGTGGAGTAAATCACACCGAGATAGGATGATTGCTCTAAGTTTGAGGCCAGCCTGGTCTACAGAGCGAGGAGGGAAGATTTGGAACATAATGATGGTATGTCAAGAGGACCCAGGCAAATGTAACTGATCAACACAGAAAAGTTCATTCCTGGAATGCTTGCTAATTTTACACAGAGGAATCTTACGGGCAAAGGTAAATACTAATAAAAACCAGAAAAGCTCTGTTTGGGCCTTGTTTGTGTGTGTGTGCATGCCTACACATGCATACACATACATGCACACACGCACGCACACAAACGCTCACACACACAAACACACACACACACACACACACACACACACACACACACACGACATTCAGTGTCTCTATTGCTCTCCAGTTTGTTCCCTGAAGGCAGGGTTTCTCACTGAACCTAAACCAGTCATTTTTGCCAGGCTGGCAGCCAGCAAGCTTACTTCCAGGATCTGCCCGTCTCCACCCCTCGAATTCCTGCTTACACAGGAAGTGCCCTTACTCACTGAGTCACCACTCCACCCAATTCTTTCAGTCTGCAAATGCATTTTAAAGGTATGCACTTGGAAAAGACGGTGTCCAAATACAAGCCCCTGTTTGAATCTGGGTCGTAC